TGAATTATCGTGATGCATCCTGGAAGTACACTACTGTGTATGCTTCATATGAATATGATGTATTCATAGACAGCGATCTGCACATATTTTTTAAACTGCAAACTGGCTTCTGTGGCCAATGCCATAAGTCATGAACTTGCCATGGAATTATGAAATATAAATGACTGAAATAAACAAATGAACAATGATGACATAAAATGCACAGTTATATACATAGTAATTTATCTTTTGAAGCTTATAGACAATTTATCTATTGTATGTATAAGTGAGATGCACCATGGGAGTTCAACTGCTATCGATTTTTCTATTAACTGAAAACTAGATATGTACTGTAAAATGACTAATTTTCAGTGGGTTTAATTTTTGCTGATTTACCGTTTCAGGCATATTCAGTGGGTTTTAAATTCACGGTTTTATCATTTAGATAATGTGTTCTATGCTCAATTTTACATATTCACTGTGTTTTAATTTAGCGCATTTTCCAGTCAGCGAAATAAGCAAAATTAAAACCCAGTGAATAATTAATCCCTTTACAGTATACTCGTAAGCTGTCACTATTGGAACATTGACATATCAGTTAACACACATTTAAATTAACCTTTTCATACCCTATTTTATCTCGTCATAATATGGCTGCTATATATTAGTGAATCATCCATTAATGTCTTTGTTAATTAAAACCAACACGCATAATATCACTATTGACTTTTGGTGTTGATTAGCATATTTAAAAAAAAAAACAAAAAAAAAAAACGTTTTGTTTTGCTCTGAATGACCAAAGTGTTAAACAGGTAACATCTTGTCTGAATAAATGCTCGAATTCAAGGTTTCCATTATTGTTTTTTTCGAATTATTGGTCGGTGATTGGTTGGTTTGGTTTCATTGTCACTTAAGGTAGAGATGCAGTTTACCTGATAGGTATTTTAATTAGTTAATTAGGAAACCAAGATGACCTCCCTTTGTCCACAAAACTATATGTTTTCGGAAAGCTTATTGTAATGAATTTTAAAATTTTGTTAGTATTTTTTTTATGGACACTGTGGTTTGAAATATGCACAAAAATGTGCTTTTTTGGTCAAAAGGAAACGACATCTCGAAATATCACTAGTTGTCATCAATCCCGCCAAAACAAATTGTGCCTGCAATATTAACAGCATTTATTGTATTTATATAAATGTTTATTGAACTCGTCTTCAATAAAGCGTTCAGCTGCTTTGGGACTGTTACTGTATCAAACACCGTCATTTCCGAGTACGTCTTGTGGTCAAAGTTTTGAGAACTGTGAACAACACATCATAGTACTTATTAGCAGATTCGAGCATGCGCACAACCAAAATTTTATGTTTTGTCTTTCAAATGTCATGGGAAGATGCGGATTACAAAGACAGTGCATACTCAATTTTTTCCCACCGAAACATTGAGGGACATTTTCTTTCTAAGACTGATAGTATCTCATGAGCACCAAACTCAACTTAAGAAAAAATGTGATCAAATAAAATAAACTTGCATAATTATGTTTATTCAATGGGGTTGCACTCCGCTGACCCTTTTTTCTTACTCATCTATTTGTGTAAATATTCAGAAGAAAAATTAACGATTCGTGACATTTAAACAAGTAAGCGATTGCTCGTGTGAAAAATAAAATATCTGTTAGACTTCATAATATTAATAATCATAATGATAACACTCTAGTTAAACAGGGTAGGCCTAAATACAATAAAGTAATTTCTTCTAGAAAGGCAAATTAAAATACGCGACAGATCTCAAAATAAAACACTACGGTAAAACCTTTCCGTTTTCGACATTGTGAAATTCTTTCGTTTTTTGGGAGAACAAATCCTGAAAAAAATTATTTTGACAAGATACTTCAGAAAATTTATATTAAGAATAATTCATAATGAAATGGATTCTTTGTGCACCCATAAACATTTTTCATAATTACCGATTTTACAAGAATATTACAGACTTGACTTGAATTATGACTGAAAGAAGCTGAATGAAATTACAAACTATGTAGTGTGTTCAACAACTCATGTATGAACAATAACTTTAATAAATGTGATATTATTTGGTAAAAATACTGTATTTGGGTGCATAAAATAAAATAAAATGCACACGGTAAATTTGAGCCATTGTCAACAAAGTATATCACTGACTAGAACTGACAACTCAATATCCTAACAATATCAACGACCATTACACATAACTGACGCGTTTAAAGCGCGGTAGTCGTCGCGCTGCGCATGTGCGAGATATATGGGTCTCATATAAACAAAGATGGCGACTTTGACTGTTGCGCAGATCAACGAGTACACTGGCACGTTTCCAAGCTGTAATTAGGTAATTTTCATGTGATTGGAAGGTATCGAAGGAGTCACCGGTGGTAATCAGTGCAAGTCGCGCCCAGGTCAAACCTCATACTTGTGATTTCTATTTGAAGAGCGCATTGGATTATGGGAAAATCAATGTTTATCAACACAAATGTCGAACATGCGCAGCGCGACGACTACCGCGCTTTAACAATTATCATCACTATTTATAACCGTCATTAACTATCATCATTACTAATTGTTAACATTATTAACTATCCGCATTAACTGATATTTGTAAGCAACATTATTACTAATTATGAGCTAAGTTGATGGCTGTAAATGCATCGCATCTATAACTGATAAATTACTATTTTCAACACACAAAATTGACAGTCGAGACTGTAACTACCAACATCAATAACTTAAACAACGCGAATCGCCACCTGAAACTAGCATAGTTAAAGCGCGG